TGCGCCGAGCGCTCTAGCTGTGGGTCTAGAGGCCCCCGGCGCGGTGGACGGAATCTCTGGTGTTTCATTTGTTTCTCGAGCCTGTGCTTATGTGCTGTCGTGACTGGGTGCGGGATGAGATCGCACAAAGCTTACGAAAGACAGCTAAGTTCCTCCGGCGTGCCCGATACAGTTTCTGCATCCATGGCCATGTGTGCTGGCTTCAGGGCCGACTGATAGGTGGACTTCTCGAAGAACTGCTACTGCTGGGTTTTCCGGCGCTGGTATGTTGATGTGGGCTTCTGCGTTTTTTATCGCGTGCTTATGCGGGAATAATGTCCGAAATATCAAGTCATCGTCCTGTAAAGGCGAATGTTGATGCAGAGTGAGCAGGGGAAGGTGTTTTGGTACCTCACTGTGTTTGAAAGGCTCTGGATCCTCGCGGCTCGCGGCGTGACGTCATGCCGTGTGCCGAATCTGTGTCAGGGCTGCCATATCGCGGCTATCGCAATAGGTGCCGAGACCAATGAACTCTGGCTATAACCGGTCACGGGGAGGGTTTTTACTACCAGTCCACCTTGGGGTGTCGTGATGTTATACCAGATTCAGCGGCACTTCGGCCGCAACAGCCGCTTCCCCTTGTATCCTTGAACGGTTGCCAAACATTCGGCATGGGGCGAGGCTGGCATTCTGCCCCTCATCTGACCTTTCACCAGCTCTTTCCTTATTCTGTCGCTTGTGACAGGGCGTGCTGGTCTAATGCAGCCATTGAGCGGAAAAGAAGAGGCTGGGCTGTCGACGCCGGCGGGCTTGACGTCATGCCTGCCGCACGCCCTCCGCCACTGTCGCCCGCCTTACCGTGCCACGGCTGAGCTGTCGACGCCGGCGGGCTTGACGTCATGCCTGCCGCACGCCCTCCGCCACTGTCGCCCGCCTTACCGTGCCACGGCTGAGCTGTCGACGCCGGCGGGCTTGACGTCATGTCCTGCCGCACGCCCTCCGCCACTGTCGCCCGCCTTACCGTGCCACGGCTGAGCTGTCGACGCCGGCGGGCCTGATGTCATGCCTGCCCCACGCCCTCCGCCACTGTCGCCCACCTTACCTTGCCACGTCCCTGTCGCTCGAGAAATTCTAGTCATGAGTAGGTATTTTTCGAATTGGTGTTCTTCCCCAGTCGGAATAAGTAATTTGAACGTTTCCTTAGCCGTCTTGAGACCGACGGACGGCTCAGAGCGATGGTTTATTACCGCGCATGCCTACTCGCACGTCTGGACAGGTGCGATGTTTTTATGGTTGACGCGATGTTTGACACAAGCCAAAGCACGTAAGCAGAAGCAATTCAACCGGCACAGGCCGTCAGTTTCAAGCTACCAGAGTCGCTAAGCGGACGCTGTCGTGCGGCCGGTCCACAGCGCTGGACCGCCTCCCAGCCTCAGTGTGCAGCTGCCGCCGGGGTGAGGTCGGTCTGGCGTGAAGGCTCGAGTTGCCGGCCGTGCGGGACAGATGTGCGTCCTGGCCCTGCCGGTCACTCTCGCCTGTCTACACACACGGGCTGGAGACCATGACACGCCCAGCGGGCAGGAGGCCGGGCCGTGTCGTCCCGGTGACAACCAGCCCGTGCGCGCAGGCCGTGCAGGCGACCACCCCCTGCTACCGTGCGAGGAGTGTGCAACAGCCATGCAGAGCTCACAGGAGCCAGGCACTTAACCATACGGCCGCCGTATCGTAACAGGGGTGTCGCAAACGTGCCTGTTACTCGCATGCTTGGTCTAATGCAGCACATTGTTTTAAGGTGCATCGCCCGACAGCAAGTGTTCATGCCGATGGGTTGCACAGCTGCCGGTAATGCAACGCCACTCTTCGCCTTTATCGAACATAATTCCAACATCACGTAGCGGCGACGGTGTAACGCGCCATATTTCGCCTCTGATGACCCGAGCGTTACCGCCACCGGAAAAAAATATACATACATGATTTGTTCTGAGCGCTGCACTGGACCAGGACGGGGCCGCCTCCGGCAGCCGTCGGTGTCGCTGAGCCCGTGGGGGAGGGCCGCCGAGACGCCGGCGCCGGGCCCTCCTCGCGACACGGCCCGCGGACAGCCGTGTGACACGGCCGTCGGCCTTATGCAACGGCTGTAAAAAGCCGAGTCGCGAGTACGCGCGGCGGTTATGCAAGCCTGCGGCCGAGCCCTGCGGGCCGGGCTGAGCCGCAGGGGGCGCTGCGGCCCAGCCCGGCCGGCCGCGCCGCACGCGCGCGGCGCGTCGGCCCGGGCCGCGATCGGACCGCGCCGCAGCGCCCCCTGCGACCCAGCCCGGCCGGCCGCGCCGCACGCGCGAGGCGCGCCGGCCCGGGTCGCGATCGGAGCCGACCGCGCTCGGACCGGGCCGCGATCGGAGCCGACCGCGCTCGGAATCGGACCGGGCCGCGATCGGAGCCGGCCACGCTCGGACCGACCGGCCTGACCTGAAACTGTCGGCGTCCGGTGGCGACCTGCCAGCACGCACTGCCGCCCGGTGCGTGCCGCCGTGACCTGGCGACCCTCCAGATGCGCGTGGCGCCGCCGCACCGTTCGAGGCCAGGCATGCGGCGGCAGCAGGCCGCTGCCCCCCCCCCCCCCGGGCTGCGCCCTGCGGCCCTGACCTAGATTTCCTCGGGGCATGCGGCCTCGGAGGAGTGCCCGCTGCTGGTTCCTTCTTGGCGAACACGCAGCAGTAGCCGAGGACGCTGTTGCCACGCGGCTGCCAGTGTTGCAACAGCTGGTAGAAGCGCGGCTTCGTCCAATAAACCACAGCACTTTCCTGAAAGGCTTAGTGATGCGCTTCGACCGGAGAAATGTAATGTTTGATTCGGGTTTGAGCAGATGACTGAAGTTGGCGCGCTGTACCGGTGGTCTAGCACATCTGTGAAGCCAGAGGAGCCAGTCAGAAAGCCCAACTGGGTGCCATTAGTAAAGCTTTGCATATCATCGGTTCACCCACTACACTTCAGTGTTATCTCAGGACACCCTTTCTGCGGGTTTGGGTCGCAATAAGGAAATGCTGCTAACGTTACCCGTTTGGTATTTTCATCGCCAAGCGAAGTCCAAGTTTGGTTACTGGTTAAAGGAAGGTGTCCATGGGAACCTCGCTTCAATAATCTCAGTTGCGGAGACACGACGTGGCTGTCTGTGGTTTCAAAACAATACAGCGCTATGGACTTCCGTACAGTGCTGGAATTCGCAGTGAATATTACATTGAATGCTTTGAAAGCATTCGTGACTGCAGACGGATACAGCACCGACTAGTTGTAACGTGGTATGGTAGCGAAACCTGCTGAAGTGAAAAGGTCGTTAAAGATGTCTCTGGTATTCCAACGTCAGTATCAAACGGAAAGAAAATATGCGCGCTCTCGCAGTTTGACGTTCACTAGTATGTTCGCCTCACCACGAACGAGACGGAGCAGCCACTCTGCACCATCCATTGCATTGTCGCTCTGAAGCAGGAGGATAAAACGCGCTTCAGCATTTCCCGCTTGCATAAGGCCACGACCATTGTAACAGCCCGCACCGCTACTGACGACCGTCGCGTGTCGACGAATGCGGCGCCCCCTCCACTCGGCGCCGCCGACGCCGGCCGTGTCGTGGTGTAAACGAACGTTGCCAGGCCTCATTCAGCAGGCCGCCGCCTGTGTGAAGCCGGCCGTGGCGACGTGGAGCAGAACTGACAGCGATTGACTCAATAGAGGATGACAGTGGTGCTTTACATGGTTTTCGCCGTCTGCCGGGTTGCATCCATGCAAGACAATGGATGCAACCAGGCAGAGACATTGTGTCTGTCCGCAGCTGTTAGGTGAAAAGCGATGAACAACGTTCTTTGTTTGTGAAGTCCTCTTGCCTTTGGGTGCAACCGTCATCACGTGGCCACCGATGCGTATGAAATACCCGATATAGATGATTAAAGTCGATGAATCCATATGGCACGTACTGTATAGGACGCATAATATGACGCAATAGATGACTAGCGTTCAATGCATACATCATGTGTATAATATAAGCATGTAGAGGTATAAGGAATGCAAAAAGGCACTCGTGCAACAGCTGGAACAGATTACAAGTTATTTAAATAAATGCACTTAAATACACATATGCCTCCCCACAGCAAATCGGCACACCCGGCGTATCCTTGATGATGTTCACTTACGCCGTGTCACTAACCTACCTACCTACCGGGTAGGTAGGTAGGTAGGAACCTACCGGGCACCGGTAGGTTCCCTCATGACTGTAGAGGAGTACACCCAGCGCCGCCGATCGGTCCCGATTCGCGCCACCCTCGCCGCGGGGGGCCGGCTCTGCCCGCTCCCTCTCTCCCTCCCAGCGGCGAACCGTTTCCTAACCTGGCGGCGTGCTCGGTCGACGGCAGCCGCGCTGTTGCCTCAGAAGACCTTGGACGCCGACCGCCGCCGCCGGGCCGCGGAAACCGTGCCGATGTCGACACGGCCGCCGACGTCGGCGGGGCGTTGTCTCGCTCGCGGGGGCTTGTTTTTGCCGCCCCCGCCGGCCGGGCCCGGCCGCCGGCGAAAGGAATTCCGGCCGGGGCAAGGCTGCCCCGCGTCCCGCCTGTTTGGGTCGCCTCCCGCCGCGAAAACACGAGAGGGGAGCAAATGGGGAGCGTTACCCTTCTGAGGTCGCGGAAGGGGAACAGGTTGGTCCGCGTTGTTTGTAAAGATCCAGCTCCTCGGACCGCTAAATCTGGGGCGTCAGCTTTGTAGCCGAGTGGCGACAGGTGTTCTGCGAGCGATCCCCGGGCGTCAGCTACAGAGTACAGGGCCTAAATCTGGGACGCCTTTCAGCCGTCTTTGTGCCCGGGCGGCGACAAGTGCCACAGTGCGGGCGATCCCCAAGTGTGGCCGTGCTGGTAGTGGGGTTTCTGGACACGCCTCAGGTGTTGTTTGCAGAGTAGGCTGTCGCCTCCTGCGCCCATGACAGGCTGCCGGAGGTCGGCGGGGACTCCGTGCTGACGTCGTTCGCCTCGCTGTTTCAGAGGGTGACGATCTGGCCGACTTTATGTGTTCGGGCGACGGCGGCGGCGGTGAGTACCGAGCGCCCTCCTGCGCTCGCCACGGTGTGAAGTCACCCCCGCAAAACCCACCAGGGCTGCATTTCATGCACTGATTTGACCACGCGACGCGTTTGAAAAAAGGCAATGCAGTGGCGGATCGACTCAAACGATGAAAACTTAAATCGACTTCCCTTTCTGCATAAAAGGTGTGTGGGAAAGACGGAGAAACGAAATAAAAAGAGCCGGTGGGTGAGACCCAAAGAGAGACGGTATGTGGTGGCGTGACGTGACGTGACGTGACGTGACGGACAGGGTCAGCGGGGCAGCCGCCATCGGGGTAGCCACTGATGACCCGGCCCCACTCGGCCGGGGACACCAGTTGTCCGACCGCGACAGCTAAGGTGGAGGGCTGCAGTCGGAAGCAACGAGCGTGCCGACGCGCCGCTGGGTCGAGCCAGGCGATCGCTCTCGTCTGTCTGCGGGCTTCCTGGTCGTTTATCTACAAACAGTTGCCAAAACTCGCGCTGACAGCTGTAACGTGCGCTACGCATTGTTTGCCCTGGTGACGCCTCACGCGAAGGACATAGTAAGAGCGTGCCCTCACATTCTGCCTGCGGGCAGCGGTCTCGTCCGGCACATCCCAATGCCCCGCCCCGTCTCTCCGTCCTCCAGCTTGCCGATGTCCGTCACCTCGGCCTTCCAAGCCCGCCGCCTGGTGCCTGACGGCACCAGGCGGCACAACGGGGACGAGGCCCGACGCTGGCGACACTGACCACTGCCACCCCACCAGCTCACCCCTCCCTTGGCAGCGAGCCCCGGCGCCGCCTGACTGACCGTGCGGTCCAACCCCGGCCGGGCTTCCCCGCGCCGCCCGTGACGCCCCGTGATGTGACGGCCCGTGACAGCTGCGGTGCGGCCGGCGCCTCCCGTCCACCGGGCACGGCGCGCCGGGATAGCTCACAATGACGTCAGGAGTCACCGCGCGGCGTCAACGCGAGGCGGCCGGCGGACGCAGCGTAGCCGGTCGCCGCCACGCCCTGCGGCTATATCGGGGCCGCAGCTCGGCCGCGTGACGTCACCGCCGACGCTCCGCGGGAGACGGCGCGGCGCGGAGCTGCGATCGAGCTGGGCCGTGGGCGGGCCCGCTTCCGTCCGCCGTTCACTGGCTAGCTGCTGACGCGCGGAGGACAGTCAAAGGGAAGGTGGCAGCCCGGCTGGCGCAGGCGGCTGTTTGAAGCGCACTTTCTTTCTGGAGAATCCGGAATCCGGCCGGTAAAGAGCTGAGGCTGTTGACTCGTAGTGATGTAATGGAAGTGCTCCGCGCCTGGGTTATCATGAAACCTGACATAGGTTCGCAATGGCTGGTTGCTCCAGCGTCAACGTACAACGCCGCTGAGGAATAAGAATGGCGTCTCATATTGAAGTAATTTCTCTTAAAGCCAGTCGCGCTGGCTTCGCTGAAATGCAGTTTTAATGTGTATCTTTTATCGCCGAAGATCGTTACGCCGTTGCCCTCCCAGGCGTGATGCGTGTGTGTACTATAAAGTAACGGAGGCGGCGTGAGATGCGGTCCTCCGTCTGTAGGCGCGTCCGAGCCCGCACCACTGGCCGGTGATGCCCTCGGCGGGCGCCGGTTGCGGCGCCCGCTCCGTCTGAGATGGCGGGCAAGCCGGGCCGCCGCCCTCGCCGCCGCTCGGAACGGGAAGGTGTTGTAACCGCGCCGGGCGTGCATCGCCCCCCCGGCCGGCCGAAGCGAGGTCGCCCGCGTCCTCTCCGCTCCGTTGGGCAACGGCGCGCCGCCGGCGGCAGCGCCGGGATTCGCTCTGCTTGGACCACACCGCCGCAGCCGCCGCCGCCGCAGCCTTGGCACAGTTCGTCTACACTCTTACCTGGCCAGCCCGCGTGTAAACGGCACGGAGCGAACGCACCGTTTCCGTCCTTGACACGGGGTTCCGTGGTCGACTGGTGCCGCTCGGCCGGCCGCGGCGCCGTCTGGGGGATCTCGTGCCGTGCTGGGGGCCTTCTGGGCCACCGCGGTCTGCCGACAGGCTGAACGGTCTGTCGCGGGTCTGCAGGATCTGCTGCGTGACTACTGGTCTCATGACGGCACTGAGGACTTTGAGGAGCCCCCTGCAAGAGCTCAGAGTCCGTCTGCAGGCCTGGGCTTTTGATGTGACCCCGCAGAGTGGTCACGTGACCTGCAGGGCGACGGCAGCTGGCTGTAGTCTGTGTGACCGAGGAAGGCCCTACAGAGCTTAAACACCTAGGGCTGGGCAGGGGATCTCTTTGAGGACTGAGGAGCATGAAAGGTCTGCCAGCACAACTGATGGTCTGGTATTTCTTATTCAGCTGTCAAAGACAACTATCGTTTCAGGATGGCGTGCGCTGCCGACCACAGGCTGCGGTCTTTTCCTCCTCTTCCTTTTGACTCATCCGTAAGCGACCTAGTCCTCCTTGGCCTGGCTTCTCTGATGTCGTGACTTCTTTTTCTTCCTTCCCTTACGTGCGGTTTGCTTTCGTTGAATGAAGGCTCCTTTGAAGAAATCTGGTTTCCTTCTCAAAAGTGAGTGAAGGGGGCCGATGCGGTCAGTTCAGTAACCACGCACATTGCGAGCGTTTCATGCAAACCTGCATGCCATCCAACAGCGCAATATGACAGCATTTGAAGCGACTCTGGCCCTTGCCCTAGTGCTGGTGCACAGGCAGGCCAACGTGTGTTGTTTTTTTGGGGGGGAGGGGGGCGGATATTGCCAACTAAAGCATGTTACGTTTCATGTTATAGTAACACTCCTCCGGAAGCACATGCCGTCCCCGTGTCATCACGCTCAATCCACCCGCTTTCTCCGCTGACTGACAGCGCAACGTTCGCTCCGAAGCAGGCGCGCTCGCCTTGCGTTGGTGCGTGGTACTGCAACGCGTTTTCCGTAACATTCGCCCAGCTCATTGGCATGCACCGACCGGCCCCTGCATTGCGTCCACGCCGGAGCCCGGTCATGAAAGCGGAGAGTTTTTTCGCTAACAAGCTGCGCTGGTTCCGCGTGGACACGGCCGCGCGACGGGCGCCGTCGCCGCCGGGCGAGGCCGACCGGCGGCGATCGTCACGCCGGGATACCACTGCGAGACGGGCGGATGTCAGCCCTGTCATGGTGCCGGGCGGCAGCCCCTGGACGTCATGCGTCGCCGTGAGATGCGGGCGGCCAGCGGGCGCCGCCGAGCAGGCAACAGCTGCTCGACTGGTGAAGCAACGTGAATGAGGTGTGGTCCAGATAGGCGACGGGGTGTGGGACCTGAACCGGTTGCACAACGATGAGCGCACGTCAACCGGTGTGCGACCACGAGACCGAGACCAATACCACGAATGGGTGGACACGCCGCGACGGCAATCCCCATGAAGAGGTGATGACCTAGCCGGACACGGTTTGCCTGTGCGACTAAAACCTGCAAGGAGATCATGCGTACCATACGCTCAACATCAGATGTAAGATGTCATGACCCGAGTGTCTTATCCCATTTGTATTTGAATGAGTTCGTTCCGCCTGAAAAGCCGACGCGCCCTCTGGATGAATAAAGCTGGAATGAAGCTGGAATGAAGCTGTGCCATCAGTAAGTTTGATGGAAAGCTCTCTCGAAGGTGCCGAAGCTGTGGTGGCTGTAGCCTCCTCAGCTTCGGACCGGGCGGCCGGCTGGCCCGCCGGCGTTTATGCCTGCCTTCACAGTGGCCGGGCGCCCTGTGAACAGCTCGATGTTCGGGCGCCCTGGGCACAGCCCGATGTCCGGGTGCCTGAGACCGGCTGCCGTCTGTCGAGGGCTACGATGGGCTCGCCGCCTCTCCACGTGCGAGCCGGACGGATGTCGCCGCCGGTCCCGGCTCGGCTGTCGCCGCCGCCGCCGCCGGCCCGTTACGGGACGAGGAACGGGAAAGGCGCCGCGGCCTCCAAGGTGATCGGGCCGGTTGGCCAACGGGCCAAGCGGCAGCGCTGCCGTGCGGCCCCTGTCGAAACAAGACCTTGATTGAGTCCACCGCCGCTGCCGCCGCTGCCGCTGCTGCCGCTGCCGCGCGCGCGCCCTCTGTCGGCGCCGGCGATCAGCTGTTGGGTGAAGGCCGGCGCGCCGGCGGCCGGCAGCAGGCGGCAGTTGTCGGTGGCGGCGCGCGGTGGAAGGGTGGTCGTTGCTGGGTGCGGGCCGGCGCACGAGGCGGTGTGGCACGGCGAACGGACGCGTGTGCTGAGCCAGCCTGCTGACCGCGCCCGACATGGAGCCGGTGGAGGTCTAGCCGGTCCGAGCCCGCCGCCGTCCCGCCCAGCCTGCCGACGCCCACCGCCGCACCAGCAGCGCGGCCATGAAGAACAAGCGGCTCAACATCAAGGAGGAGACCATCGACCCAGACGAGCCCCTGGACTTGTCCGTCAAGAAGTCGGTCGAACCGGACCGCGAGTTCGATGAGACGTTCGACGACACCGAGCGCAGCCTGGTGTCACTATTCCACTCGAAGCTGCTGCCGATCAAGAAGCGCAATGTGGTGCGGTCTCAGTCGGCCAGTAATTGGCTGGATTTGTCCCGATATTCAGGTCAGTCGCTGATGATGATGATGCGCTCCGCCCTGGGGCTGTAACTGTGTTGTAAGTGCTCTGCGATGCGCCTTATCCTGGACACCCTATTGACCAGGCCGGAAAGTGAGTGACGGGTATGGCTGGAGGAGACGCCCATGTATGACGCGCGACCCTTTCCGATTCGTCTTGCCAGGCATTGTTTGTGCGCCGAGCTGGTTCAGAGTCGACAACTGCCGGTTTATTGTAAGGAAGGCGAGTGCGAGGCGCGCCAGGGACCTTCTCTTCCCGCCCCGGGACCGTCACGGCCGCCGTGGCAACAGAGCCGTTCTGTAACTGGGCCGGCCCTGGCGGCGGCGCCGCGAACCAGGCTCGCTCAGCGCTGCTCTTGACCTGGTTCGGCGCCCGGTGGCGCGCCGCGGCCGGGTGAAAGTGAATGGGGGCCGGCAGCGGCGACGGCGGCGACCCTGGGCTGCCGCCGCT